GGGATCCGAACCCTCGGACGGGAGCGCCGCCGTGCTTCCCAAGCGGCGCACTATCCAGTGCGCCACCGGGCCGGCCCCAGAACCTGAGATTTTGGTTAGACAGCAATTAGAGTAGAGTGGGTGAGAGATGGTGGTGGCAAGGCCTAGGTTAAGAAAGGCCCTTGGGAAAATTATTGACCCCGCTCCAATATTTTTGCAAAAATAACCCTTCATGTGCTACAAAAATCTTAAGTGAGGTGAGGGATGCTGTCTGTTCTATTATGCACTTTTTGGGAAAAATGTTTCCCCCAAAAATCAACATGAAATTAAATCTTTGTCAATTCTAGGTATTAGAAATCCAATCTGAGCCAACATTGTTAAATACAAAATATAATTATTCCCAAAATGTAATTTTCATTTCCATTTTAGAGAAGGTAATTAGGAACCTTTCCGAGGAGATGGCACATGGCTTGAGAACTGAAAAAAAAGGAAGCAGCCAGTAGGACTCCATTCAGAAAGAACAGCAAAGTACAAAGGTCTTGAGACAAGAATGAGATGGACATGTTCAAGGAACAGAAGTGGCTGAGTGGCTGCAGAACAGTACTCATGGTATGTGGGCCACATTTAGTGAATGCCCAAAACATGCCTTCTTTTTCATCTCTGTCATCTCCACAATAATGACAAGCAGAAGCCGTCAATAAGAAATAAGCAGAGAAAGGTCTCGCACAACAGCTGAATTTATTTTTCACAGTTGCCTCACTAAAACTGATAAAAACAACACTTCTGGTAAACCCACAGCAAAAATTTCAGTAAAAGAATAAACACATCTAAGGGGCCAGCCCCTGGCTCACTCGGGAGAGTGCGGTGCTGATAACAGCAAGGCCACGGGTTCGGATCCCTACATAGGGATGGCCGGTTGGCTCACTTGGGAGAGCATGGTGCTGACACCACCAAGTCAAGGGTTAAGATCCCCTTACCGGTCATCTTTTTTTTTTTTTGTCCTTTTTTGACACCGGCCGCACCGCTCTCAGCCAGTGAGCGCTGTGAGCGCACCGGTCATCCCTATATAGGATCCGAACCCGCGGCGGGG